TTACAGGAAAGGAATGTCCCTGGAAATGTGCTCATACAAATGTATTGTAGATCACCACGTCAAAAAAACATTCATGTATATATATATTCACGAGGACAGTTAGAAAGGCTTTAAATGCAATATCAGACAAAAACGAAACTTAAATTTAATTTTCTTTGTTAGTTTTAAGAACCAGAATTGAGAAATGTACTGCTTGTTAACAGCGTTTTATGCCCCCTTGAGTGACAGCAATTTTTGAAATTTCTGGTGAGGTCAAGGTCAAGGTCACAACAAAGACAATTAACAATGGGCTGAATACTGAAATGCAAAACTATTTGAATTCAGTCTAAGGACATATGTACCCTCACACCCACAAAAAGGCCTCTTTCTAAATTTGTATGTATTGAAATTCAACATTATAGTGAGTCCAGGACTACTGTAGCTCTCATGCTGAACTTTGAAACACAAAATCCCTTAACGAACATCATGCTACACTGTAAATTGGACACCTAGAGCTGGTCTCTGCTTTGCTTTACTGCCCTTATAATTATGATTCTCTAAAAGATGGACATCTCTTTAAGACAGACACTTTTTCCTGATCCCAGAGGTTTCCATCCTAGAGAGCTGACCTAATAAAAAATTGAAAGCTAAACCACACTCACATTTCTTGCAGAATTTTGATCCAAAAAAGTCTAACAGTGTCATCTTCCAAATCAAAAGCAAAACAGATCCACATTGAATTTCCACATTATTATTCTCATGCAGCCACTTTCAGGCAGTCAAGCAGTCGGCTGCCTGATATGAATGACTGCACTTATATACTCCCTAAATTTGCTAATTTGAGGGCCCTCATATATACAGGAAACTCTTTACCCTAAACTTTGAAATAGGTTCTCATTTTCTAAAATCAAGTGTTAATATATTATTTTCTAAAGGAAGACTTCAAAATCCCTATGAACAATGCTTCAGTTTTTTCTTGTTATGGTCATTTTTTACAACCCCGGTTCGGTAAATAAGCTCAAGCAGAAACTTAACTTACAATTTGCAGCAAAAAAGCTCACAACTTCATGATCTATAAAAACAAGAGCTAGCCTAGCTTGAGCTTATCTGTACCATGACTCTAATCCTTATATAAAATTTTAATAGTTTGCCAATACAAAATACACACTTAGTATTGACCGGAAAGCCCTAAACAGGAAACAACTTCCCTCACTGAAGGGCTACCTAAATTCACAATAAATAAGAAATAAAAAACAACTAAAAGAAAAAATCATAAATACCTACACAAGTGGCAATCATGTACAATATTAAACTAGAATATAATTAAACTAGTAAGAAAAATAAATTACGAGAATGCAGAAATATCGTTCATGTGTAGAAAGGATTACAGGCAATCCTTAAAATTGTCTTAAGATCCAGTTTTTCTTAAATGTAGAGGCAGAGAGTTCCATGACTTACTATTCTAAAGAAGTAACAAAATTTTAAAACATTTATAGTTCTTGCATATCTAATTTTAAACTGGTAATTAGTATGTCTGAGGTTATATTTACATGTGGAACTGTTGGCAGACACAAGATAATAAGACAGATCCAAATCATATGGGCCTATCATGCATTTAAAAAGGAAAACTAAGTACATAAAGAGCCTGATCCTTGAGGCCAAGGAAAGAAGATTCAGTTACTGAAGTCTCTCTTGATAAGGCCTGTCCTTTATGATCAGTTTAGTGGCTCTTCGCTGAACTCTTTCAATTAAGTCAATCAAAAACTGCTGGTGTGGCAACCAGACCTGGGAGGCAAATTCAACGTGTAGTCTGACTAAATGAATGTAAAGTTTGAGCAGTACATGGGGTTGGGTACATTAGTACCACAAGTTCTCTTGATCAAACATAGACTTTATTAGCGGTGTTTGCTTTGGCCATGATATGGTCATGCCTCAACACTCCTACGTCTTTTTCTTCTGATGACAATGGGATACGCTCGGTAATTCTAAGGCTGTAAGAGGTTTCCAATCGCTCTTTCTTTTGTTCGTGATGCAGAGATGTTTACATTTCTTAGTGTTAAACTTCATACCCCAGGTCTCACTCCATCGATATAAGGTGGATACGTCTTGTTGCAGTATGCCTCGGTCTAATTGACCTCGTATAATTAACTCTGCTGCATTTTGCGTCATCTGCATAAAGGGGTCATAAAGTTTCAGGAGATAGGTCTGATCCAATATCATTAATGTAAGATAATAAACAAAATTGGACCGATTATTGAGCCTTGTCGAACGCCAGGTGTATCTTCTGAAGATACATATTTCCAATCTGAGGAGATGCCGTAGATAGATAGGTGATTTAACCTACATACATACATACATACATACATACATAAACTTTATTAAAGTGTCAAGGTATTTAGCTAAAAGTTAATTGTGGACACTATAAATAAATAAAATGAATATAATATAAGATTAAATCAAGTATATGTAAAAATATTAAAAAGATATTCTTAAAATATCATTAATATATGAAAATAACATCAATATATAAAATTATTACAGACAAACAGTAGGACAAGCAGGGAACAAACAAAGACAAACAAATAGATAGACAAAACAGACAATCAGATAGACAGACAAACAAACAGACAATATAGGACAAACATATAAGCAGCAGTAAAATATAAATACAAAATTCAGAAAGTTAAAAGTCTAGGAAATTTAAATTAGACGAATTAAATAGAGGATAGGGGAGGACACCCTCAATACACCAGGCAGCCACACAGCAGAAGTTACTATGCATGCCCACCACTCTAAGATGAGCATGCACAGCAGCCACACGTGCCGTCCAGCAAGCCAAGCACATTAAGAGCACGCACCCCTCCCCTGAATGCCTGAAGACTGGTCTTACTGCGTAGTTCCTGGCTTATCTTGCCCCATATGTGTGGGCCTAAATATCTGATACTGTGCTTGCCATACTTAACAGTATTATATCTTGGAACAGGAAAAACACTTCGTAAGTTATAATGCTTATCTTTCTGAAAAAACATATTACATTACATGCTCTGGAGCTAGTGAATTTTTAACCTTATACATTAAAATTAGTATATCTTGTAACCGTCTGTTCTCAAGACTAGAGAGTCTTCCCTTCTCTAGGAGTTCCTCATACGTAGCATTCCTATCATTATATACAGCACGTAATGCCCGTTCTTGTACTCTTTGAACTTTCTAATTTTCTTGCATCAGCTACTTTGCAAAAATGCCACACTATTTGACAATATGTTAAGTTAGGTAAAATTGCTGATTGCTGGGAATCATATTTCTAAGACGTACTAGAACACTTGAACTTTCTTACTTGCCATTTTGCATATATCACTCATATGAGTACTAAAACTAAGTTTATCATCAAATGTTACTCCCAGTAACTTCAAGTGAAGTTCCACAAGGCTCAATAATCGGTCCAATTTTGTTTATTATCTTACATTAATGATATTGGATCAGACCTGTCTCCTGAAACTTTATTACCCCTTTATGCGGATGACGCAAAATGCAGCAGAGTTATAGGAGGTCTATTAGACCGAGACATACTGCAACATACTCACAATAGACGGCCAGGGCTGTGCTCTAGCAGAGCCCGGTGGCCCCTGGCGCCTAACTTTTGCCCCCGGGCAACTAGAAAATCTCAGATTTTTCATACAAATCATATGCTGGGCACCCTAGATTTTACAGTTTCAGAACACTGGGCTTCCTTCAATTTTCCTTAGAGAACAGCCTTGGACGGCACAGAGTATCCAGTGCAGCAAAGGGTTACGAAAACCTAAATACAAAGCGTTTTGAAAGAACCGCAAATAACACCTTACCTCAGAAGCTCGAAAATCATTGCATCTCTTCTTCTTCTTACTCGATCATCCTTCTTGCTACCGTCCTTACCTTCTTCGAACTCTTTCATCCTTGTCCCAGGCTTTCTAGCTCTCCAACATATGAACATACCGTATGCGTTGACCCACAGGGCACCCAAGTAGTAATAGTGGCTCATATAGGTAGTAGCCAATCAGAGCGCGAGAAAGTCAATAGAGGTATTGGGGAATAGAGGTCACGTGACCTCATTTGCATGTTTTTGACGTCACAGGGTCACGTGACCCTTCTGCCTTAACTGCTCCCCAGACCCCCGCAAATGACCGCGCAACCGGAAGTGACTCCCCAGACTCCGGAAATGACCGCGCGACCGGAAGTGACTGCCAGTCCCCCGGAAGTGACCATGCAACCGGAAGTGACCGCGCGTCCGGAAGTCAACAAATAACACCCCATCTGCTTTATTGCACAACGGAATAATTGGTCTTTATATTTGAGTTGAATGTTGTACGCTTAGGCTTGTGGTATTGCTTTGGGGTGATTTTAATCAGGGCATGCGCGTGGAGTAACATCGGCTAGGAGCATTGTCTTATAACCTAGGAGGGATTACTTGACCTTTATATTTGCAGTGGATGTTGCACGCTCACCCTTGTGGTACGTCTTTGTGACAATGTTCAACAACGCATGCGCATAAGGTAACAGCAGTTAGTGGTATTGTCTTATAACCTAGAAGGGATTACTTGACCTTTATATTTGTGATGGATGCTGTACGCTCACGCTTGTGGTAACTCTTTGTGACAAATTCCAACAACGCATGCGCATAAAGTAACATGGAACATTGTCGCGTACAGTGCGACCGGAAGTCAATAAAGCAACGCATAAGATTGCTTTTGACGTCACAAGGTCACATGACTGATCGCCAACTCCTCCCCAGGTCCCCGGAAGTGAGAGCACGACCGGAAGTCACGAAAAAAGACACACTGTATGGACAATAAAAAATCACTTTTTGATTTAATACAATCTCATTGTCATGCTTAGGTTACATCCGGGACATGTGCAACGTCTTAGTGACGTCACACCCTTGCAATGAATTATAATTGCAGCATGAGTTGCACTTCCGACCCAAAGCCTTTAGAAGCCATTTTTTTTGCAAATCGTCTTGCTTTGGTTGTATAGGTTTATCAAGTTACTCAATTTCTTCTGCTGGAATCGTGAGGACTGCGTTCAGTTTGGTACTCTTGTAGAACACGTTGAGCAAAGTTCAGAATCGTGGTTGGGTTGTTTAAACTTAACGAGACAAGGATTGCAGAGCAATTTTTCTTGAGTGCGAGATAATCGTTGATTTTGTTCGAGGTAATGTGCCTTTGTGAAATCCAGTTGACGTTGTAGGTTTTGCAGTTGTTGGTTTTGTTCTTGTATGATTTGAAGTAGATTAGCCATAGTTGTTTTATATTCTTTGCATTTGCGGCATCTTCTTATCGGTAAAGGTAGTGACAAACGTCTTGCAATACTTTCCATGATCCCGTTCCTCCACGTTGTCTCATCAGCAACTTTTTTTTCGTTGTTTGAGTGAAGTATTTTTACTCATTGCTCTTAAGTCCTTTTTATGGGTTTAACGCAACCAATACTGGTAGAATGCAAATGCAGTAGGGAATTGTGCATTGCATCGAGATTGTATGAAAAAAACATTGTGTTTGTCAGAGGAATAAAACTACAACACCACACCGAGTAGAATTTGGCATAAACAATCTCTTTTATTGATAAGGATAAGAACAACATGATTACATGCCCAACTTGAGTTTAGCTTTCATGATATTTTTGACAATATGTTCCGTCAGACTTTTCTGACCTGGCAGTTTATCGATCTTGGCAATCATCTTGCGATCTGCCATCCATTTGTCCTTCAAGTTTTTGGCTCTAGCATAGTCAATGTCATGGGCTTTAGCAATCTTGTCTAACCTGTTGATGCCAGGGTCACCGCGGGCTAAACGTTTCTCCAAATGAGTCCCAGGTCCCATATACTGATAACCGGGCCAATGAAACTCTATACCCGTCTTGGCCAATAACTTTTGAACATCAAATAACTTGCCTCCGCGTTGCGAGCGTCGTCGTCGTCGCTTGCGGGTTTGAGGTGCGGCACGACGTCTCTTGGTCCGTCTCATCATGGGGTTTTCCACGTTTCCCACTCCAAGGTTTTCTTGGCCAGACTTTCTGCTTTCTTTTTGGCTGCGTCGGTGGCTCTTTTGCGAATGCTGCGCTTGACGGCTTTCTTGATAGATTCCACACGTTCACTGGGTGTATCCCAAGGTTCTACACCGTGCGTGTCTGAAAAGGGTAACTCTTGAGCCAACTCTTCGGTGCTCACCTGGGGAGTGAACTTGAGTTTCTTTTTGGCACTCGGGGTGATAATGGGTTTGGGTGGTACGCGTGGTTTTCTACCAGGTCTGGAGGGTCCTGCAGGAGAGGCACTTTGTTTTATACCCTGGCTAGCCTTGACTAGTTGCGTCAACCAAGCTTGCACGGGGCCAACATCAAATTCATCTTCGCCTGTTTCAGTCGCAGGGGTGCCCGTACCACCTACCCCGCTGACAGGGGCACCAAACGGTTGGCGTACTTTTTTGGTCCAATGACGTAATTGACGACCCACGGCTTTGAGTTGAGGCCGTTTCCATGCATCGGGCACATCACTGGCCAAGAGCACATGTTGTTTGGCCGCTAAATCTGCCGCTTTGGTCAAGCGAGTATCTTCCACCAACTCTTGTTTGTACTTGTCTCGTAATTGTAAAAAAGCCGGAGCATTGTCCACAGAGGTGCTCACCATCTCTTGCTCCATGGTGTAAATGAGGTACAATGTCTAACGCATGGTACGTTTATAGCATCGGTAGAGTTCGGACCAGAGAGTCCCTCCCTTTTGAGACATCATGATAGCACGTCGACGTTTGACCGAATGAGCCGGTTTGGCCATGGCTCTTAAACTCTGAGCATGGGGTTTCAGCAAAGTGATGGTGTGTCGAGAACGGGGCACGGTTCCGCGGATCGTGTTCATGACCAATTCACTGATGGCATTAATCTGATCCGCATTGGCCATCCGTAACAGTTCTTGTCGTTTATGATTGTCCGCTTCTCGCAACACACTCTTCAGAAACGGAGCTTGACGTTCCATGCGCCAATCCATCGTGTGATTGTTGCTTTGGGTCATCTACCAAAGGTCTATTTATGGTAAAAAGTGCTCCACACAGTTCGCCATGATAATATTGTTGCATGTGGTCGCGACACTGTTGACACAACCTGTCTTCAAAATTTTTTGTCGCACTGTAAAAAATAATCGTTAGAACCTTTTTTTCTTCTTCTGAGCACTGCTTCACTTCTAACCTTTACACACCCGTGTGTGTTTCTTGACCTCGCAAGGCGAGAGAGCCATCGCCAACATGTGTAGCACTCTTCCACGTTGCAATCCATGATACCAGCATCGTTTTCTGGGGAGCTAACAATGTCTCTTTTATAGTTTTTTACTTTAGCATTCGTAGTGAAGCTAACCCTTGCCAACCCGTTCGACTTAACATCCGCTGAACGTGTCGTTTATTGGCTGCCATTTGTGCTGCACTGATTTTGCCCACTTTTTTCTTGCGCGTGGCCGCGTCGATAGCTTTTTTGGCACCGTAGCTGGCGCCGCCACTAACGGCTCCTCGCGCTGCCGCTTTGCCGAGAGCGATGGCAGCGGGAATGAGGAACGGGAGAATACCTCCTCGTTGCTTTCGTCGTTGTCGTCTTCGTTTGGGTGGCATGATGGCTTGTACAACATCTGATGAACCTTTTTCACGACGTGTCTCGTTTTTATAGTCTCAAGGCTCGGTGGATTGCTAGCTCTTTGTCGAACCTCACATTAGGTGAAAGGACTATTTTCTTTTTTACGCTTTTGCAAGGCGGTGGTAGTGCTGACGGTAAATCCACGTCTGTCGGAGATAGGGTCGAGGTATTCATGCGGGTTGATAATTCAGTGTGTTGTCCTCCTTCTCTTTGCCGACGTTGACGTTGACGTTCTCGTTGCAGTGCGTTTTCGAACGGTAGGGACATCCGAGGGCAAGGTATGGACTTGCGCTTTACCTTCTCGGGGTGTTAAATGACTCCACAAACGGTAACGATCATCCGAGGCAGGATGAACATCCAACATCAAATAACCAAAAGGGCGTGATGTGACACGATTAAATAGTCGCAAGACTTGACGCCAACGGTCAGGAAAGGCTTGAAGTAAAATGGTCCGTATGCCCGTTTGATCTCGTGGGTTTTTGAAGGTCACAATGTAATGCACATTGCGATTAATTGTCTTGGAGAATTTACCGGGTGGAAATAAATCTTGCGTCAAATACAGCACGGTAATGTTGCGATGATGGGAATCTTTGGTAAACAAGTCCAACACGCGTTTGTCCTGTCCTCCTTCTTCCATTAGATCATCCAAGACCAACACACCCCCTCGCGTGGGGCCAAACCATTTTGTCAAATGACTAGGGTCCGGTAACCCGCGATGAAATCGAATGCCATCCTCTTTTTGCATACGCTCGAATCTGGGTTGCCATCGGTCATACGCATACACCATGGTTTTGGGTTTCACTTGAAACACGTTCAGGTACCGCAACCATTGTTCCACCAAGTCGCTCTTGCCACTGCCCGAGGGTCCAGCAATAATCACGCTACTTGGTTGTCGTATCATCCTTCCCACGGACGAGGTAGACGTCTGTAATGACCCGTGGCACCTTTGGCTCCCATTCGTTTATACCGTTTATCACGTCCCAATTTATAACCGATTTTGGCCGCTTTGGTCAATACGCCAATAATCCCGCGCCCGTTTTGAGGAAATCGCCATCGTTGAGAGATTCTCAAGGGTCGTCTTCTTCTTCTTTTTGGCATACCGTCCAATACTCGCGGTATAATCGAGGAGACGCTGACTGAATGAGATGTTGCATACATTCCCTTAAAGTGCTACTACGACGAAAATTTTTGTTTTTGTTTCCGAGTTTTTTTAACATAAATCTTTTGTATATGTTCAAAATTATACAAATAGCGAAAAATTGGAACGATACTTGCGTACGGGGGCTGGAAATTTCCCACTGAAAAGTGCGTAAATACCGTCCGCCATTACAAAGTTCCAAAACAATAGCCCGCGAGATTTCCGCAAAGCGGTCGTGCGTTTGACCACGTGATTTATGCACTGTGACGTAGAAACATCAACCAAAAGATTCGCATGTGGGAAAAGTTTGTGAGTTTAGAGCCTTTTAACAAGACGTTTAAGATGTCATCTCCGTCGGATTCCTCTTCCTGCACATCTGAAAGTGATCTAGAAAGTTTTACAGCTGACGAAGTGATTGGGGAATTGTCTGAATTTGCGCCGTACGACGACAGTTGCGAACCCCTTGCTACCGAGGAAGAAGCCGCGGACGGTCTACAACGAAAGAGTTCATCGCGTAGAAGAAGAGGAACAACAGTTTCAACGAAGATGTTCGGGACAGGTGCCAGCGAATGAATGGTATGGTATTACCATGGAATGTAGATTTATATTTTTATTTTCCAATTTCAACATACCCGTCGTTAAATCGTGCGCGTGACGAACGCGACTATTTTGTTTAAGTTTACAATTTCGTTGCTATGTGATTAGCTGTAGTCCAGATTTTATGCGATGAAGAGGTCAGACAATTAATAATTTTATACAGACGTATTTTTCTCGTGTTTGACGAATTTTTCACATTATTTTGCAGGTGTTCGTGCTCGAACTGCTCTGTCAGCCTTGTTACAAAAGCGCAGGAGTGCATTTGCTGCAAAGAGATCGATCGCTGCGAAGAGGTCATGGAAGAAGCCATTTGGGACCGGACCGTATGCATAACCCTCCGTCCAGGGTTTGAAAGCGTCTGCTTAAACCGCCACGTATTAGAAGTGGCTGCACTGGGCCTAAAAACGCGAGCTGGAAAGTCGTTCACAACTGTTCGTGGGCAAAGCAACAAAAGTGATGATGAGTAAGTTGGGGTATTGTTGAGTTGTATCGGAACGATCGAACCTTACATAGCATTGAATAATTGATACATCTAAGCTTATCGCCGTGGACTGATCTCATAGAATCACATTTTTTATTTTCTAAATGGCTTTATTGCCCCAACTGCTTATTTTTAAAAGGAGTATTTATTTATCTTCATCCAATCCCTCCTTGAATTAACAGTGATCTCATTTCCCTGATTAGATTCCTGAGGTCTGTGGCCTATCGCCAATTTACAAGACTGCTGTGGAGTTATATTGGTAGTTCCAGGCGATACCCCTTGCCCTGTTGTGCCTACAATAAAATCAGGAAACAATTTCCGAGTCAAAATGGCCATTATCGTGGATTCGAAGATGATGAAAATGAATAATAAATGCACTGTTTGTTCTTGAAGAGTGTCATGTATGCCATTGGGGCCAAGAAGGACCTACAGTAGTTGCTTGAATACTTGTCCGTAAGCACTCAATTTTATGGGCCAAACTTCAGAATTCTCAGCCACTTACTCGCTTTTTGTTGAATGACAAACTTGCCCACTGTGTGAAGCCCTGTTCTTCTAGCGTTCAGTTAAACTCAAGTTTAGTGGCTGGGAATTCTGATGTTGCTCCAGTTTTCATGTACACAAGTAAAAAAAATTAAATCGAATTCAGCCTGAATTTAATTACAGTTTTAATGTATCGTTTCTTTCTTTTCATTTGGCTCACAGAGCACTGCAAAACTTAATAGCAGGTTACCTGCTGGAAACTTTCCTAGCAGGTCTGGTTGACTCTTCCAGACTTTTGTCTGGCTACAGTTTCTGCAGAAACTTTCTACGGTTAACAAGGTACCTGTCTGTGATACAGAAAGTTTGGGTTTTGAAAAGAAGCACAAGTGGCAGAACTGAAACAAAAGAAGAAGTTTGGAAAGGAAAACAATTTCCTTCGGTTCCTCTCGAATGTTTTTTCCTTGTAGATCCAACCTGTAAAAAATGATTGAAAGGAAATACTCATTTAATCATAGCATCTGAAATAATAAAATAACAATAAAAAAAATGATTATCATTTTTATTGTTTTTCTCAGGGTGTTGCCAGTTTTTCAACTTGTTGTAAACCTGGCTAATTGTGGGTTGGGATTTTATTCTCACATACATCCTGAAAAATGCTTTTTTATAATAATTCTGTTGATTGCACACATGACAACTTTGAGCCCTTAAGCTATCTAGCCCACCCCAACGATGCATAATTTATTACAAGTGGTTGAGTGGACAAACCAAACATTTTTAGGCCTGGGACTTCCAGTGTATGGGCTGGCTATGCCTCTTCTTCTTCTTTTTTTTTTACAATTCTTATCTGAGTAAATTAAAAAACAAATTTCATGTAGTCTTGTTTCTAAATAGATCCTCTCATACTGGAAGTTAGTTTTAGGCCTAAATCACTTCCCAGAGGATACTTAGAGCTAAGATGTTAAAATGCAATAAATTTTGCATCTTTGTACCTTGGGTTCTGATGAGTCTTCACCGAGTCATCATCTTCCTTTAGTTTTGTATATGCATCTTCGATTTCTTCAGGACTCCATGTAGGGTCTTCATCACACTCAAACTCCTCATACGCGTCATCCTGCATTTCCTGCTCATCTTCTGATTCACCCTCTAGCCCTAACTCTGTCTCATTTGTTACTGGCCATGGATCAGTTTGAATAACTTAAACAAATGGAATTTAAAAAATTCTATCACCATTAAAATTTTAATTATTATTAAATAATCAAATATTGATAAAATATAATAAAAATATAAAGATAGGCAGTTATGCCTATATGACTCATCAACATCAATTATTGTTGACTCACCAGCATTCACTATCAGCAACTGCTTCGGCTCTTGTATGCTCTTAAAGGTTTCAACCCACTGATCTTGATTGGAGATTAACTTACTCTTCAGTCTTGTGAGTTTGCCCGTTAACTGAGTCACCTCACTCCTCAGGGTTTTGCATGTTGTGCAATTCCCAGCATGTCCAGTTGGAGTATCCTACAAAAAACAAACTTTCAACATGAGTACAGGCTGTAATAACAAGACTTTAGAATTTTTGAGTTTTACTATTGTTGTAAAATAACTGCACATGTAGTTTACCATTGTTATGATAATACAAAGATGCAAATAAACATTAATTAGAGTTATGCGCCTACCATAGAAACCTGTTCAAGTTCAGGAATCATTAATGATTCATCAATCTGCATAACTTCATCCATATCCTGCACTTTTTCGATTCCCTGAGCCTCCAGGATCTGCATGGTCTCAGTAACCTCATCAGTGCCTGAAATCCCTTGGCTCTCGAGAGCTGTCTTATCACCAGGAGTACCTAGGACCTCTGAAGCCATCTCAGCATCAACACTTATCTCACCCGTCTCAGTCTCAGGGATGCAGCCCTCCTTTTCAGGATTTACCTCAAGCAAAGAACCCTGACTTTGTATTCAGAACACCCTCGACTTCTGGAGACTCCTCAGGGTTGAGATTGGGAGCTCCCATAGTGTCAGCACTCTCCTCAGGTGCAGAACTTCCTTTCAAAGAGATCACCTCTTCTTCAGGATTGTCTTCTTCCTCTGTATCCTCATTAGTAGTTTGACCAGCCAGAATTTCACTTAGTAGCTAAAAATGAAAACAGGTACGACCATTTTTTATATCTCCCCTTCAAAATAAGTTTAAATTTGAGCTTTATGTCGATGTTTTCAAAACTAGAAATGGAAGCAAGGTTTAAACACATCTTTGCCTTAAAATGTATGCATCATTTGCAGACAGTGAAAATAGAATTAAAATACAAACGAAAAAAAAAACCGGAAACAGTAACTGAACTTATAGAATGTAGAAATCAGACTAAGTCCATTTTTGGTCGTTTAAAAAACTCGCGTGTAACTCTTAATTTGCTGTAAGATTTCTTGGAGGGAAGTTTGGAAAACTGTCAAATCTCAAAGTAACAGCCAAATAATCTCTCAAAAAATAGAGAGCCGGATTTCTATGTAGCTTCACTTTTTCTAAATTTTACGCTTGAGTGGAAAGGTCTGGGAATTGGGGAATTGACTTCACGTCCACTCAGCGCAAATGCCTGTTTTACTATAACTATGAGAAGAAAGCAGAAAAGTATGAAAACACATGCAACAATATGGGAAGTCCAAATAGTCAGGACATTCATTACACGAATATTGAACAACGATGCCAGAAAAAATCATGTCACAGGTAAATGGGGAAATAAATATAATGGTGATAAGCACAGCGCAAATACATTGTAATTTCACTCACCGATCGTCGACTCCGCTTTGATAGTGTTTGAGAGGATTTTTTCCAAATGGGTGGAAACGTCCCCTTCTTCTAATTCCTTTTCATGTCTTTCATCGGAAAAGCAAGCGTAAAACAATCCCTTGTAAAATGCTCTGATCACACAGCAAATTTTCCCACTAGGTTGAAATCCTTCAGATCAATGGACACGAACCTTTTCCACTTTAATCTAGCGCTGCCCGAATCAGGAGAATTATGAATAGAAATCCCCAATTCATCGTTCTTTACGTTTCCACAGTCCTGAACAACACAACGTCTACCAGGCATACTTTCGCCTTAAGGCAAAAAAGCGAAGAAAGAACCTCCAAAAGCTTCCAAAAATATCTCGTCCTGCATGCGAAATTAGCCACGTTTGTTTGCCTTGTTTTGCTGCGTTGATGTTTCTACGTCACATCTCGCCCCAACTCCTTCAAATACTACTCCCGGTCATTTTTTGAATCGAGTAATGGCGGCAAGACATTTACGAAAATTGCCGTGCAAATAAACACACTTCCAGATCATATTTGGACTCCAAACTTGGCACGGTAAGTCACTTTTACATACATTTTCGAAATATGTAATCAAAAACAAATTCCCAAATTTGATCGTAGTAGCACTTTAAATACGATTCACCCATGGTGTCCATGTACGCTTTAAGCGACATCCATTCTCTATCTTGAGCCAATTGTCGGGCTAATGTCCAATGATACCCATCCCAAGCATCATTGCCTCGGACGGTTTGGACGCGTTCGATGGGATGCAACCACCAATAAAGAGATTCTTTCAAAATGAACGCATCGATAACGCGCTGCACATCGCCGCGTGTAATCATGATGAAAAAAAAATGACACCTCTTGTTGCTGGACTTGTCTTTTTATCATAATGATAAGACACTACACACATTTTGACAAGTAAATCACGTTTTTATTACATTTTATTACAAAGCAGAAAGGCCTGGCGGCTCAAATTACTTTGCCCATCTGGTCGGGCATCCACTTCATCTTGTAATTCACGTTTAATCACTCGTTTCAAGTCTTGGGCTACTTTATGATCATTCAACACTAAATTATCGGTACTCCAACTTCCCAAAAAGTCCTTGTAGGTCTGTCCTTGCGCTCTGGCTTTAAGGAAAAATAATGCATAATGACCACAGGTCTGACTATCCATGGCTTGCAGGGTAATGTCACTGCGGGTTAGGTACTTCCATTGACTCCACCACTTGTGCAACTCTGCATTTTTGTACACGTGCAAGGGTAGACCATAACTGTCAAAGATTTCGCACTTGTTTTGTTCTGTCCACATGCCCAACCAATGTTGTCCCGGTTCACCCGCTGGATCCGTGTTGACAATGTAGCCCGCGCGGACCGTTTGGGGAGGTGATGGTGGTAGTTTATCGGCTGGGTACACACCTTGAAACACGCGTCGTAATTGAGGATCATCTAAGGCCAACGCCCGTAACACAGTATCGCTGAGCGCCACAAACTCCATGACTGGCTTCTTCTGAGGATGGTTCAGCCGTTGATGTTGTACTTTATACCTCCCAGATGATTAATCTCGTACACGTTTTCATACTCGCTCCACACCAACACAGTGATGTTGTGATTAACAGCGGCCCTGAAATCAATCACCAGTCGCACATTTCCCGATTGACGAGGGTTGCGATACTGTGGGTCATCGGCTTTGCCGCTTGGCACATTGTTGAACATAAACAACGTGCAGTTCTTCTCCTGTCCCCAATCACTAGGTAACAGCATGGGGATCTTGTCTTCATTATAGGAACCCATGGCTTGTAAAAACCGATCGTAGCCCAGTAGATCTTCATAAGCTTGATTTCCTGTTAGTTCTAGGGTTCTGTAAGGATATTCTTCTCCATTCAAACTTTGTCGCTCTTGGGTCACCCCAAACTTTTCAAAGGCAAAGGTGTATCTTTGTAGGTCACCATTGAAGGCATTAGAATGCAGCAATCCCATTATCACTCGATCGGGAAATCGACCCACAAACAAATTGTCTTGTTCCCACTGGGTAGTTCTTCCATCAAAGGAGAAGGTGCGGATTTCACTTCGAACCACTGGGTAGCGCACAATCTTTTTTCCCAGTTGTCTTTCTTTTTGCAGTCTGACATAGACACTCGCGTTCAAGGTCACTTTTCGCATCAGTAAGGTGACTTTGATGTCATCATTATGGATGGCGGGAAATTTCTTGTCGTTCAAGGTCCCTTTGTTAGGGGTACCCATCAAGTACACAGAGTTGGGGTTTAGGAACAATTCAAAGTCCAACTGGACACCAGGCACCAAACATTTACCCGTCTTGAGAGGTGGTAAATGAGGACGGATGATAAAGGTGTGCCAATTTTCGCTTAGCAACCGGCTGGTCAAGGCTCGCAATTCTACATTTCCATTCCAATCAACACCGGTAGGGGTATCGGAATTGGCACCTGTGGCCCCCATTTCCTCAATCACATTGAGTTGATTCACCCAGCCTTGAGGGGCTAACTTGGTGGTTCCTTCTTCTCTGTTGTAATTCAATAAGGTTTCCAAGTAGGCTCTGTAATGGTAGGTATTGCTCTGTTCAGTCATGAGGACGCCATTCATGCTCATGGTAATATCTCGAAAGATGGAGTGGGCAAAATTGTTCACGCAGTAGGTGTTTCTGGTATTGTTGGCATCGGAATTGGCCACATTGCCTTTCAATCCTTGATACCCACCGGCAGGATCAGTCAGACGTACTTTGACTTGAAAACGGAGTTCGTTGAGATCATAATAATCTTCAGAGGCCGGGATGGAAAACGTGATGGGCTGTATTCCCGTCAAGGCAGGTTGAAACGTCACGTCCCTGGAGGCTTCGTACCGGTAATCCACATTCGGGACATCAAACAAATTGAGCGACATGTTTTTTTCGGTCAGCGCCAAGTCCGCAATGACAGTGAAGACCATCAACGACGTTTCCTTTTTATAGCGTTCCGAGCCAGCCAATTGGGGTCCTCCTGGTAGGTAGATGGGAATCTCAAAGGATTACCCATTCGCATGGACTTGCCAAAGATAGTTCCCCCTTTCATACGTTGCTTCAGCCAGCGTTCTATCATCATCTCATTCTCTTGGGACGTAGATGGGAATCTCAAGGGATTTTGCATTCGCATGCGGGTGGACTTGCCAAAAATCGTACCTCCTTTCATCTTGCCACGTTGCTGCAGGTGTTTCAGCATCCAACGCTCTAGTGCTGGGGATGATGAGTACATGAAGGGATAGCGCGCTGTAGTAGATTTACCAAAGATAGTCCCTCCCGTTTGATACGGTGAAATGAACCGGCCTCGGGGCCGCTGAAGTCGAATGCGATTTTGCGTTTTGCGAAATCCTCCAATGCGTACCATAATTCACAATCCAAAAATATCCCGTACGCGTTGAGTCGTTCTTTTATAGGTATTTTGAGCGGTTCGTTTGGCTTGGTTTTTTCCCACGGTCCAGGCTAGGGCAGGAGCTTTGCGTTTCAAACCACGTTTAATTTGCTCCCCACGATTCGACAAGGTGTCGGCCAAACTCAGTCCTTGTTGAATATCTTGCAGTCCCGCTTGGGCTTGCTGCACGATGAGAGGACCGGCTAGTTTGATTAAGTCTTCGGCCAACCCTTTTCCTTCTTGGGTTGTCACCACTGGTGTGTGGTAGCGCGTTAAACTACCTCCGCGCATGATCGGTTCACGTTGTGGTGCTTTTTGGACCATGCAGAACGCGTGTGGTGGCTTTTTATAGCTGTTTGAGACCAATGGTCACCAGGGTTTTGCCAGGGGGTAAGATGGCCAGGGGTCCACTAGTACTCGCAATCTCCACTTCCAAGATATCCAATTGTTGGCCTCGTAGTTTGATCCATTGATGATGCAGGGGTTCCGCCGTACTTTCCCCTTCGCCGGTTCTCAACAATTGCACTTCCCGTAACAGGGGATACTAGCCACTGCCCACCACGGTGGATTCGACGAGATCCGAATAGACCATGACGGTACGTTTGCGAGTCCCCACGATCTTTTCAAACGAGGCATCCAGGTTGTTCAACTGCCATTCCGCCAACAAGGACATTTGCAAAAACTTCACACCATCATGGGTCACCACTTGCATGGGATCATGTTCAATATTGGCTACAATATCGCCAAACAATAAGGTGGGATTGACGCCAATGTACTGCGTACCTTCCCAGTTGTATGCCCTGCGAAACTGATTGCCAGCGGGTTGGGTGGTCGAATCGTACGTCTTGGTGGGCAGCGTGTATTGCATATTGGGCCCCAATGGATACCAGGTCCTGCTTTGACTGGTCTTTTCGACCACCAACCCAAACTTGAGCGCAATGTCCAGGTTGATGAAAAGGTCAGTGATGGCTTTCTTGTCCGCTTTAATGAAATCCATTTGGGGAAGGGCCTTAATTACCAAGGCACCTTTTTTCCATGACAGTTGGGGCATGGCGTTTTGTTTGGCGCTGACAATAGGTTTTTTGTCAGGCTCCAGGATCAAACGCCGCATTTGTTCATTCATCACATTGTGCATGATTTTATTGTGCACTTCTTGCATCACTCGTTTCCAAAACTGACTCCCCGTCGCCACAATTTGATTCGCATTCATGATCTCTTCCAATTCCACCGCACAGTCCACGGTTTTGATTTCCATTCGTCGATAGGTGCCCAACTGAAACTTGCGGATCACATAAGTCATTTTGAATTTGAGCACTTTGGTATGAGGATCCGCCGCAATGATGGCATTGCTCTGTCCTTGGTCCGGGACGGTCAGGGACATCAATGAGGCATGCCATCCTGCGCCCGGTAAGTTGAGACGTTCGGGCAGACGGACCTTGAAACTGTTGTTGGCATTTTTGGGAAACTCGTCGGTCGGATCGCTGATAAGCGTCAAGCGTTTAATCTCACTCATTATGAGGATACTCGTCTAAGGGTGCGTGGTAGTTTTTATACCTGTTTGAGACCTATCGTCACGATGGTTTTGCCGGGAGGTAAGATGGTCAAGGGTCCAGCGGTACTTGCAATCTCCACTTCCAAGATATCCAATTGTTGTCCTCGCAGTTTGATCCACTGGTGGTGCAGGGGTTCTGCCGTACTTTCACCATCCCCAGTTCTCAATAACTGTACTTCTCGCAGCAAGGGAAACTTGCCACTTCCTACTACAGTGGATTCGACTAGATCCGAATAGACCATGACGGTGCGTTTGCGAGTCCCCACCATCTTTTCAAACGAGGCATCCAGGTTGTTCATCTGCCATTCTAACGCTGGGTACAACCTCACCCACTTGACATTATCAGCTGTCATGATCGTAAAGGCTCTACTGGTGTTGTTGACGCCCTCGTAATTTTCACCTTCCCAATTGTAATAGGTACGAAATCGACTGCCAACGGGTTGCGTGGTCTCATCATAGGTGTTGGTCGGCAAGGAATATTGCAGATTCGGACCTAGAACAAAATCCGACGTGTTGTTGCCAGTCTTGCCCTTCTTTCTGCGCAGCAATCCAAACGTGAGCGCAATGTCCAAGTTGATGTAAAACTCCACCATGTTGCTTTGAGCCATGTTCAGTAAATCCTTTTTGCGAATCGCCTCAATCACCAGGGACTCCTCTTTCCAACTCAGCTGGGGTATGGCGTGTTTTTTGACAAACACGATGGGTTTATCGTTGCGATTGGCTACCTGCATTTCCCATTGTTTTCTCATCGCTTCGGTCATGATTTTGTTATGCACTTCTTGCTTCACGCGATTCCAAAACTGACGCCCCGTCGCCACAATTTGACTCGCATTCATGACCTCTTCCAATTCGAGCATTTGGGTCACCGTTGGGATGTCTATACGCAGATACGCCGAGGTTGATGGGTCGCCCGTGTCTGTCCATTTGCGGATCATTTGCGGATAGGTGAATCGAACCACTTTGGTATGAGGATCCGCAGCGACGATGGCATTGCTCTGGCCTTCATCCGGGACGGTCAGAGACAACAACGAGGCATACCAGCCCTCGCCCGGTAAGGAAAGAGGTTCGGGCAGACGGACCTTGAAACTGTTGTTAGTATTTTTGGGAAACTCGTCGGTCGGGTCGCTGATGAGCGTCAGGCGTTTAATCTCACTCATGATGAACAAGAGGCGCGTCCCAGAGGGTACGGGGTCCTTTTATAGCCACTGAACTACTTTCTGTTTGCTACGAGGAACCCGTGCCACTAAAGAATTAAAGGTTGATTGTTTGGGATAAAAACATACTTGCTGAGCAATGTTGGGAAACGCTTGTGCCAATTCCATTAACGTTAAGCAAGTTTTTTGTTTGGTGGTTTTTTTCTTCTTGCGCATGGGCGGATGACGACCAGCGCGCCGGCGTTGTTTCTTTTGGGCAGTTGTGTAAGCACGAAGAGCTTGCTCACCAAAGGCGAGCCCAGCCATTCTGTTCACTTTGGCTCGTCTTTGTTTCGCCGCTTCCTTGTTAATAAACTTCATCATCTCGACCTCATCCATGTAGGGTGACGTGTAACTGGCTTCAGTGGGTATTGGGTACAGAAACCGTCTACTTCTTCTTTTTTTTTTTCGTTGTGTTGTTTGTTTTCTTCGCACCATGGGCGGGAATCCAACTATCGTACTTGGGTGGCCAGCCTTTCCAGCGCACTAACACGTTGCGTCCTTTACGTTTCAAGACTTTTTCGACCCGAAATAACGAGTCATCGGACACTTGCACTTTTTGCACATCGGGTTCGTAAAACGTACCTTTTATAGGCGTACCGTCCCATTCACTGAGTCGATAGGTGACGATGGGATGTCGACGTACATGCGTGACCACAAACACTTCTTCTGTCCATCCAGGTAGATACCCTTTTTGAAAGGGTCGATGTTTCTTGTTCAGGCGTACGCGATCACCCACTTGACATTTGGGAGGTGGCGTCTTTTGCTTCAAGCGCTTACCGTAGAGTCTGACCCAGACCTCGGGCACAGTTTTTTCCGTCACTTGCTGCGGGGTCATACCAATACTCCGATGATAGGACTGATTGTACGAGTGAATTAACGGTTGTAACACATCCACATACCGCAACGTATTATGGGCCGTAAAGTAGCGGTACATTCGTTGTTTCAACGTGCGATGCCATCGTTCTACCACGGAGGCTTTACTATCCCCATACGTTGAAAAATGATGCCAGTCGTGTTTCTTGAACCAGGCTTGTACCCCTGCATTATAAAATTCTTTGCCTTGATCCGTCTGCACGCGGAGTGGTTGTCGAGGTGAGGCTTGTCGACGAATGCCTTCCAACCCTCGTATCATTTCTTTACTGCTTTTGGATTTGATGGGGATCGCCCACGCATACTTGGACAGCACATCGATCACGGTCAGCAAATATTTGTTGCCCTTATTCCATCGACTGAGTTTTTGCATGTCCACCAAATCCATTTGCCATTGTTCGTCTCGGTCAAACACCAAGGTAGGAGTGGTAGGGAAACGAGTCCGTCGGGGTTTGTGTAACGTATAACTGAGCACGGATTGCAGAATTTGTTGCGCTTGAGGAGTTTTCAATTTGCGGGCTTTGGCAAAGGGGTCTACCCCACCCAAGGCCCCTTGTTCATGGGGATCTTCGTAAGCGCGTGCTAACGACATAGCACAGTGACACAGATGACTTAAGGGCTTTTCTTTAATAGTTTTTTGCAAAAAAAAGTTCCACTACCTCCTCTTCTTTCTCTGAGCTTCAGCAAACTGGTTCAACGTTGTTGTTGGGGCGTGCTAGGTGCATGCAGTGTCTGCACAGTATCTCTTTGATCTATCTTCTCAGCATGGTTGCGCTTGTTCTCTGGCGACGACACAGCAAAGCATGAAGGCCATTGGATTCTTGCTCTGACAAATTGACTTTGCAAAGCACAATACCACCAACTCGTCTTTCCTCAATGTATCCAATAACTAATCAACTCCATGCACGAGAGCACTTGAGACCCAAATTGTTCCTCAATGCGAAAATACCACTGTGCTGCAAACGGGAACTGTTTTAGCCACACCACATACGTGACAAATCTCCCCAAATCACGATGGACGTGCGTCTCTTTAAAGGTTTCCACAGGATCACCCCATTCTTGCAAAACATGCTGCTCGGAATATTTTAAAAATAAACGAGCGCAAAGAAAACGAATCAAACGCCAACGCAAATAATACCACATTTTTTTTTCTTTTTTTAAAAAATAACTTTAATCACAACTCACTATATACACTTTTTTTGGGAGTATCATGCAAAACTAGCTCTAAGTTCATTCCACAAAAAGACGGGTCTAAAAATATGATATCGACGCGTATAGTCATTGTCTTCATCATAATAACGAGTCAATACCTTGGTTGTAATGATTGCATGAGATATGTGATAACCGGTTAATAATCTATGAGTAATGTAACCGTAGGTTCTTGGTCGATATATATTATCCACCAGATATCCAAATACATGTACTTTGTAACGAGGAAGATCTGTTCTAGGAAACATGCCTTGGTGACTATATGGTACACGATAGAGTCCTGTCGTCGTCTCCCAGCCAGTTGACATTGATGACATCGAAAGTCATTCGTACCCGAAAAGTCACCATTGATGGAAAAAACAATGTCAACAAGATCAAGACTAGGTTCTAGGATGCACAACTTCGTTCCACAATCCCAGCATTTCAATTTGTCATACTGTAACGGAAACAATTGTTCATGCAAGGCTTTCCATCCCATTTCATTTCTGGCATGCACCATGGCTGGCCAATAAAGACGTTCTTGAATAAAATAGGGTAAAGTGCTCCAAGGTAATGTCTCATCAAACATTGACTCCATGCTCAAAGACGGTGAACGAGTTGGATGGTACCGCTCTTGTATAGTAGACATAGGGACTTTTGCGTTCACCGCCGCCGCCGCCGCCGCCGTCTTCGCGCGGACCGCCGCCACCGCCGCCGCCTTCGCGTGGTCCGCCGCTGCTGCTGCTGCTGCTGCCTGTTTTCATCAAATTTTTTCGTTTTTCCTCCATGTCTGCTTTCAAGTTGGTAAAGTACTGCTGAAAGGCCATCTTCTTGCAAGCTTCCTTGTGTTCTTGCGCGTTTCTTTTGGCTTCTTCTCGACTGGCTAGCACGGGCAACTGCTTGAATTCAAATCGCATTTCATCTTGCCAGGCGGCATTCTTGTTGGTAAAAGGTTCCTCAAACCACTGAAAGTAAGGACATTTCAACTCTTTGCACCAATTGTTGCAGCTCAAGTACAAGCGATTGGGGTTAGTTTCCGATTCACTCAGTTTCAGCACAGGGGTGAAATGGCAGAAACACTGCAGAATGTCCCAACATTCCATCACATCATGACTGGGTAGTGTATAATGCAGAGCTTGTAGATAAGCATCGATATTACTGGCAAATAGAAACACGGGGCAATCTACCTCGGGGCAAAACAGCACTTCTTGTTTCTCAATCTCATCGGGTGGTTTTTTACGAGTGAGAGGTTTCAAGTGAAAGGGGCACGTTAACAAATCCACCACTGCTAACGGGGCTCGAGGTGGACTCATACTTTGCGGTCCAGGGGGACTTCCAATTTGTGGGATCATGTCCACTTCAGCTAACAAGGACTGAATGGCTTGATCTTTTTCTTGCTCTGATTCTTCGATCCATTGCCCATCTTTCATCACATAATGCTTTTCTACCACTATAGGTTCAGGTGTTTCTTTGAGTGAATCGGTGATCAAAGCAGGAGAATTTGTTTCCCATTTGGGTTTTTTCTTCTTTTTTTCTTTGGAGTCAGGTTTATCTTTCTTGGTATATTTTCGTTTCTGCACGGGTGGCGCCTCAACAGTGGTGGGTGACTGCATGATGCAACTGATGAAAATGGCGAGTTGCTCCGAGACTATATAAGCGCGATCACCTGATCTTCAACCAATCATTTTTGTTTCAACGCGCTAGCGGAACAACTGGATTGACTGGTTTTAACTCGTTTGTACTGGATTGACTGGTTTTCACCTGTTTGTACTGGTTTAACTTGTTTTTTAAAAGAAAACTTGTTTAACATGTTTTTGAAAACGAGTATATTACTAGTGATCCTCAGTCATTTCTTCATTCTAACCATGGCTTCCTCCAATCCTGCAGAGCCTTCAAAAACATGGACACATTTCAGAAATGTTGTGGAAAAAAAAGCCGAGTTTGCAGAAGAACCCATGGAACATCCAGCGGGTGAAAAATATACCATTGTGACCGGTGGAGCCCAAGGAGCAGATGAATATGCTGAACGACTGGCTTTGGCGTATGAATGTCGGTTGGATATCAAAATAGGCCCCAATCATCCCCGAGCTAAATGTCTTAGTCCCATTCAACCCAATGAAGCTGATCTTTATCATGCTCGTGAATCCATCAAACGAACCAACCAAACGCTTCAACGTAAAAGTCCTATTGGTACAGCTACTTATTTTGAAGAATTAATGGTTCGAAATTATTTTATTGCTAGACAATCTTATGCTCTGTATGCCTTTGGCTACTTAGACGCCAACAAGACAACGGTCCAAGGAGGAACGGGTTGGACCGTTCAACTGGCTTTGGATATGGGGAAACGCGTGTACCTGTTTGACTTGACCGACAACCAGTGGTACGAGTTTATCTATTATCATCTACAAAACGACTCGTATGTGAAAAAATGTCAGTTTCAACTCTTGAAAAGTGCTTGTTCTCTCACTCTCTATGATCATGTGGGGATTGTAGGATCGAGACACTTTACAGAACAAGGTAAAAGGGAGATGCGACATCTTTTTCGACGTACCTTTTTAAGATGAACAACAAGAACAAGAAAGTTCATTTTTGTCCACAAGTCGAGGTGTATCAACCCATGGGGCAAACCATCCTGTTAAAAAAACAAGCTTTACGAGATGAATCGACCAATCCGATGGTCTCCTTTTTTCAACAAAGACGTATAAAACTACGACAACTCATGCATGAACGTCATTTGGTCAGAAAAAGTCGACGCGCAGAACGAGCTCAAGCGAATGAAAGATTATTACAAGACTCTTCACCAGAGTGATTTTCCCTCTTGGGAAGATTACATGCTAGAAAGAATCCAACGAGGATTGGCTGCAGGGTATACGTTTCACGAGTGTTATACGCATTGGTTAGAAGATTTTTCCGAGACCTTGCATCGATTGAGCGACGAACTGCATGGACAAACTACTGAGCCAGCATCCGCTCAGTAATTATTCGAGTTACAAAGAGTTTATTCGTGATTTGATTCAAGACAGCATTTCTAATGAAGGATACACCTTTGAGAATCTAAATTACGAATTGTATCGATTGAACACTCAAATCTATCAAGAATTAACCAAGGAACTGTTGAGTACACACTGTTATGTACATACTTCAAGATAAAAATTTACAAGATAAACTGTCGACCACTGGTTGGGCCAGAGATTGGGTGTGGAGTATTGCTTATGTCATGATTCAAAAATTTGGTATGGATAAAAATGTACACTTAATGCCTCCTAGTGTGGAAGCCTGGAGTAAACATTGGTATACTTACAGAAGTCAAATTGCAGATACTCTGATGGAACTGTTACCCCAACTCGCCTTTAATGACATTCATGAAGAATGGCAATGGAAAATGGTGGAAAAACATCATCCTAGTCCGCAAGAATGGGGAGGCAACATGGACTTTTGTTGGAATTTTATGAGACCCAAAGATTCTGTCATTGAAGCTTTATTGTGTTTATTTTCTTTTAATTTAAACAAATATGGTACCTATGATTATGAATTCTTGGGATTCACGCATGCTGATGTCGATCAATTATTTCATTGGCAACGAGATATTCAATAAAACCCATTGTTGAACTGAATGTATTGTGTGTTTTTTTAATGGTACAAACAGAAACCTCATTACCTGCTTTCCTTCCAACCACATAAAAGAAATCCTTACCATCTCACTACATGATAAAACTCTTTCATTTTTTTAAAAAAAATCAA